GTGGAGATCAGCAAGGCCCAGAAAGCAGACGAACCCCTACAACGCGTAGTTCAGCAGACCCTCTCTGGCTGGAAGGAGGGAGCGAAGCATCCCGACCTGCTGGACTACTTCGCCTCCCGGGGAGAGATGAGCGTTCTGTACCTAACGTGTGGTACACTGCTGATGTACGGGCGACGCATCGTCATCCCTCCGAGTCTGCGAGATGAAATGCTCACCCGACTACATGATGACGGACACTTCGGTCTGAACAAGTGTCGCCAGAGGGCAGCAGAATCGATCTGGTGGCCTCAACTCAGCATCGACCTGAAGCGTCATCTCGAGAGCTGCTCGTTCTGTCAGGTGAACGCGCCAGCCCAGCACGCTGAGCCACTGGTGACAACCCCAACGCCATCAAGACTGTGGACGCACGTTGCAGCAGACGTCTTCCACTTCAACAACTGCAACTGGCTCGTCACGGTGGACATCTTCAGCAGGCATCTGGAGATACAACGCCTCCCGAGTCTCACCAGCAGCGCAGTCATCGAGCGTCTGAAGCGCCTGTTTTCCCGCTTGGGGATACCAGACCTCGTGACAACAGACGGAGGAACGCAGTTCACTTCAAGCTCGTTCGCCAACTTCACAGCGTCCTACGGCTTTACAAACCGCATCACAGACCCGCACACGCCGTCTTCCAACGGAGCAGCTGAACGGGCCGTGAGAACCGCCAAGTGGATACTTCGCCAGAGGGACCCCCACCTCGCCCTCCTCAACTACCGCACGACGCCTGTGGAAGCAACCGGATACTCCCCAGCCCGTCTCCTGATGGGACGCGAACTTCAATCTCGTCTCCCCATCGCTCAGCCAACCGGAGAAGCGACATGGCAGCATGCCAAACTCCGAGATCGGCAGAGGAAGAAGAAGCTGGAGACATACTTCAACCGGAGACACGGTGCCCGCGATCTTCAGCAGCTACAGCCCGGGGATCATGTTGGGATCAAGACGGAGAAGGAAGCAAGCTGGTCCGAGCCCGCCACCCTCATAGAGAAGCTCTCTAGACGCAGCTACCTTGTGGAGCTCAAGGGTGCTCGCTATCGTCGCAACCGACGTCATCTGATGCAGATCCCTCCGTTTCAGGTGTTGACACAGCACGGTTCCGCGCGGCGTGCTGACTGTTCTGCACACAGGGTGCCCGCTCCAGACCTCCTCTCTGGCCGCCATGCTGAGGTGGCGCCACCGGCGCTGCTGCAACCGCAGCCGCGCGAACCGGCGCCTGCACCACGATCGGTGGTACCACGGCCACCACCAGCCGTGCCGTCGCCCGCGTCGACAGCGGCGCCGCCGCCGTCGCTGCCGCTGCTGACAGAAGCTGCGGCCCAGCCCTGCAACGCGCAAGTTTTAGTTACTGCTTAGTTTTAGTCAGCGTAAAACACGCAGTGGCCGCGTTTTCTGAGAGACATCAAACAGGAGCAGCAGAGAAGCAGCAGGAAAGCAGGTGGGAAGCAGCAGGAAAGCAGCAGAGAAGAAGCAGTCCGAGAAGCAGAAGGGAAGCAGCAGCCTCAGAAGCAGCATAGCAGCAGCAGGGAAGCAGCAGGGAAGCAGCAGTCTGTCGCCAATAATTTCGTTTCGCAAGCGTTTTTTAAAATATATTATACATTTATTTGCATTTCCTCAAGGGGGGAGATGCATCATGATGTTACTGGCGTACCCCTCAGGCCGCCCCTGCTCGTGCCGCCAGTGCTGCTGCACTTTGGTACGCCGCGGCCCCGAATGGCGGTGTACTACCTGGGGCGCCACCCGCCGGAGTTCGGCGCCGCCCGCTCGCTTCACGGGATAATACAGTTGCCGTCTCGCAGCGCTCGTGTCTGGTCTGGGCAGACAGAACACGTAGACTTGAATAGTACGCATCTCCCCTCTGTTAACCAAGACTTAATTATGAGTATCAGTAAAGTCTTCAACTAAATGTCCATCGGCGATTGACAGTCTGCGCACCGTTACTCCAAAGTGGGTGGGGATGATTGAAATCGCCGCGGATGACAACATAATTGCAAAAGTGAGTGCCTAGATGGTGAATTTGCCGTGGGAACTCAGCGTTAGCATGATTTGGGGTAATGCACCAAGAACATGCATCGACGTCGCGGCCATGAAGTCGCACAGAACACGCAACAGTTTGGAGAGGTGTGGTGAGTGAAAGGTGCATTTGTGTTATTTCATTTTTGATGTATGGGCTCATCCCGCCTTGGAGAAACTCACCGTCTGCGTCGTCACAACGATATGGATCATTAGAAAAAAAGACGAAAGTTATACTGGTCTGTTAGACGAAATCACGTTTCCCGAACAGCGAAAATGATTGGAACTCAGGTGGGAGATGCGTTTTGATTTCGGACCGTTTGAAAACGAGATTGCAACGATTTCACTGGAGAATAAACGATGTTTAATGATAGGTGAGCCCATGCCCACCGGTTGGTGGCGACCAGCCGAACGAGACGGACCGTGGCCGTTCCATAGCCACCCTGACTGGCGGACAGGACTGGTGGTCTTCGCTCGAGCGTATTGCGGCAGGTGTTGCGCATTTGAGGGAAGGGGCGTTCGTGTGGCGGTGTGTGTTTGGGGGGGGGGGACTGGCTGTCGCCCGTTCGTAGCAGGAGGGCTCGGGCGCCGGGCGGCCTGAGTCGCCAGCGACCCATGAGTAGCCCGAGGCCTGGGACGCCGGCCAGCTTAGGCAAGGGAGGGCACAGATGGCCATCCTAACAGGGCGGGTTCGAGTGAATGGGTTTTCTGTGTTTGTGTTTTTGAAGTAACTGGGACAGCTGTGCAAAGAGGTAGCTTGGGAATCGACTTTGCCTGTCCACATGTCGCTACTTTTACTGCCTGCGTGTATGATTTTGTGGAAGTCTGGCACATTTTTGCGTCGATAGTGCGTCATGGCTGCTGGTTAGATACACCTGTCTTGGCCTCTTTTGAACAAGTTCGTTTTCCTCTTGCCATGTTGGGCACTAGGAAGAAGTTGGAGCTGTGTTCAGCACTGCCACAACTGAGGCATTTCTGCGACTTTGTGCAGGCAGATCGCTCGTGAGGGGTCTCGCCGCGCTTGAGGCATCTCGCATTCTGTTTGCATTGCTCGCTATCGTGTCCAAACGGTTGAGAAGTGGAGCACCTCAGAGGATTAGGTATTGATCCTCTGACTTGATATCGAAGGTAGCCGGCTAAGACGCTCCCTAGGAGTCGGCTGGTTGCAAGAGTTAAAACGAGAAGGCTGGTGTCCCGATGCTCTACATCTCGGAGCGAGGTCAGTCGTCGAATATGGCAAACATTTGCTTCGCCAGGACCTCCTTTGTCATTAAACAGAGCTTAGACGCGAAAAACAGTGACATAAGCGACGTTTTTTTGCGTAGTGAACGGACACTTTACTTTTTTCCTCACAAGCCTGTGGTTTGCAGGAGGACTTTGTTTGTGCACGAGTAATTGCTTTAACGATGAATGATCTGTTTGCTGGTGCTTCATTTGGATATCGCATCAGCCCAGATAGCCTCAATTTATTTTGACTGACAAAAGACCTTGCCTTTGCTAAATGAGACGTTTTCCTTCACAAGGCAGCACTACAACGTAAGGGCAGAGTGGGTCAAGAATGGACTCAGAAGTTTGGAGATCACTGGTCATTGTCGAGTGACGGTCAGCATCAGAGCGAGCAAGCTCCAGAGTGGTCGAAGGTGAGTGAGGGTCATAATCAGGGGCGTTGGGCGGAGGTGGGTGTTGTCCAGACGCCGTGGTGGGAGCGTGCGAACCATTGGACTGGGCCTGGAGCGAGCGAGAGTCAACAGGTGAAATGGTAGCCAAAGCGGGGCTGCTGACACTTTCGTCGTCTGCATCCAAGGGAGAATCAATATCAGAGACCGAGATCGAATCCGTGTGTCGTCCTTCTTGCGCTTACCACGCCTCCCCACAGTGGTGGACTGGGTGGAGTGGGAAGAAAGCAAGACAAATAAGTGGAATGCTGTGTATTTGGAACGAGTGCGAAACGAAAGCGACGAAAACCGCAGTGAGAAAAAAAGGAGCCGCTTGGCTAGCAGCCGCACATGGAGCAGCCGTAAGCATAGGATCGCGGTCTGGTCAATTCGTGATTGCAACACTGATTGGATAGACTATGTCTGCTGCGTATTGCACCTCGAATTTGTTATTTGGATCAGAGCCATTTCGACCAGAAATGATCGTTTCAGGGCTATGGGATGAAGGACAATGATGACGGTGGGATAAGCCTACATGCGCCTGGGGGACCAACCGCCGAGCCTTAGTCTGCGCAGGAACCCCTCTGCAGAGTATGCACTGGGCACCCGGCCGGGTCCTCGACCAGAGGCCCTTTCAAACCCCTCGTGACTGCCGCATGCAGCTGCCCCGGATAAGTAGGACGTCGCGAGAATGCGGGATGGAGAAAACAAAAGATAAATTCGTATATTGCTTGTTATTTGTTTTCATTTTTGCGTTTGTTGCTTATTGTTTGATGTTTATTGCATGTCGACTTTCATCCCAAGCAACAGAAGGTGTTTGACGTACCACCGAGACACTATAGAAATGAGGCTAGGAATTGAAAAGTCTTAGAGGAATAATGCAGCTGACAATTCCAACGGGCGCACAAACACTGCACGCATAGATGGAGCAACGCAGAAAAGACTAGAATACGCACATAAGCGCTCACCAACTAAAAAACATCGCGGCAGTACCAGAACCTTCACTTTGTGGTGCGTAGGAGCACCACAAGTGAATGGCGGCGACGACCTGCAGTCACCGTCGCACCAGCACGCTGTCCACTACAATAACTTTCTAGTACGTGTCTGTTAGTTTTCCACATGGCAGACCTACACTTATCTTGAAAATTGGTGCGTGCGACACTGTACCGACTTTAAAAGAAGTGGAAGCCGCATTTAAAACGTCCCAATGACGTCATCTCATGCAAACGGCTAAAGGTTTCTAAAATCTGCATTGTGACCTTGGCTATGACGCATCCCTGCGTCACAAACGGTAACAAAGTGGGATGCCTGCTGATCCCTAGGCGAAAACAGGGCGTCCGTTTCGGGTCATGTATGTGGAGGTACGAGAAATTCAGATTGACCGATTCTGAGACTCGTGTGATCAGAAGCGGATATGGTGGCTGTCACATGTTAATGCAGTCGTAGCTCATACTTATGTAGAGTTTAGTTCGGGGTGCAGTGCTTCATGGGTCCACAGGTTTGATTATTTTTATAAATCTACTTCGATATAATCGATACTTTTCATTTTGTGCGACTTTTTTCAAGGGACTGGAAAAGATAAGGCTTTTACAGACAAGTTTTCTGGCTTCATGGTTGAATGGGGAGAAAATTTGTGACTCCTGCAAGCTGGTTTTGACCCAGCAGATGTGGGGTGGCAGGAACTGAGCCACAGCTGTGTTTTGTGCTCGGGCCAATGTAACATAGAGCTGTGGAAATAACCAATGATTATGATGTTGATATCCTTGATTGCAACTCTTTCATATAATTCTAGTTAAGCTCAAAACTGCTGAAATGTGGGTTAGCATGTGGGTGGTTTACAATGGCCATATGATAGGAAACATGACGGTAATTTTTTACTTGGGTACCTGTATGGCCGACGGAGGGAAGAGCTACGCTAGCTGCAGGGTTTCGAGTATTGTCGTGTGGGGCAAAAGCTGTGAGGCATCAGCTAACATTGTGACGTCACTGAAAATGGTTTTGCATCGATCGGGATCGGGGTTCTTTCGGGCCGACTGAAGGCCATAAGGCTTTTGCTTGTGATATGATGTCACTGGTATTCGGCTGGGTATGTGACGTCACTGGTCGTGAGTGTGTAAGGCTCTTTTGGGTCCACTGAATGCCGTAATGCATCAGCTGACCATATGTCGTCACTGGTATTCAATTGGACATCAGGCGCGGCCGACCTCGTTCCATCTTTACTTTTCGTACCTGTCTGCTGCAAGCATTTGCGTGCCGCATAAAGGTTTGACCGAATTACCCCAATGTGTGACATCCCTAACCATCACTTCATACGAGTGCACTTAGGCCCCACGACCACGGTGTGTCGTGGTCCGCGAAGTATCACCGGATAGCGTGACGTCACTGGTATTCGAATAAATACTGGGCGCAACAGGCCGTGCTTCATTTTTACCTTTGTACTTGTCTACTGCAAGCATTGGCGTGCTGGATGAAAGCTGCCGAACCACCTGAGTGTGTGACATCACTGGCCATGAGTTCCAACGGTGCTTTTCGGCCAACTGAAGACCGCAAGGTGTCAGCTAGCGACGTCACTGCTATACGACTGTAAGACGTCAATGGCTGTGGGTTTCCACGGGACCTATAGGACCGACGAAATGCCGTTAGGTATCAGCTGGCGATATGACGTCACTGGTATTTGGCTGAACATCAGGCAACAGGTCATGCCCCATTTATACCTTTCGTACATGTCTGCTGCAAGTATTGGCGGATTTTTTGTGCGGCCAACTAAAGACCATAAAGCATCAGCTAACGATGTGACGTCGCTGGCACTCGACTGTGCGTGTCGCTGGTCATGAGGTTTTACGGCCTCTTTTGGGCCGACGAAAGGTCATACGGCAATGACTGAAGATGTGACGTCACTGGTATTCGAATGAACTTCGGGCGCGACAGACCATGTTCCACCTTTATCTTTGGTACCTGTCCATTGCAGGCATTGCCGTGGAAGGCTCTGCCAAATTACCTGAGTGTGTACGTCACTGACCATTAATTTGCACACTCTTTTGAGCCTACTATAGGCCACAAGGCATCAGCTGACGATATGATGTCACTGGGTTTCGACTAGACATCATGCGCAACAGGCCATGCTCCATCTAAGCCATGTTTCGTCTGTACCTTTCGCACCTATCTACTGCAAGTATTCGCGCGACACAGGGGCTCCGCCGAATTACCTGAGCGTGTGGTGTAACTAGTTATGAGTTAACGCGGGTTTACTCTGGCTGAATGAAGGACATCAAGCATCAGCTGACGATATGACGTCACTGGTATTCGACTAAACTCCAGGCGCGACAGGCCATGTTCCATCTTTACCTTTCGTACCTGTCTCTTGGAAGTATGGGCGTGCTGAATGAAGGCTCTGTCGGGTCTCCTGAGTAAGTAACGTCACTGGTCAAGAGCTTTTTTACGGGAACTTTTGTACCCCCAAACGGTAAAATGCATCAGCTGATGATATGACGTCACTGGTGTCCGACTTAACATCAGGCGCGACAGGCCATGTTCTATCTTTACCTTTCGTACCCGTCTATTACAAGTATTGACGTGCTGAATGAAGGCTCTGTCGAGTCTCCTGGGTGTGTAACGTTACTGGTCATGAGTTTTTTCTGGCTCCTTGGAACCCTCTATAGGGAAAATGCATCAGTTGACGACATGATGTCAATGGTGTTCGACTTAACATGAGGCGTAACAGGTCATGTTCCATCTTTGCCTTTCGTACCTGTTAAGTATTGGTGCGTTAAATGATGGCTCTGCCGAGTCACCTGAGTGTGCGACGTCACTGGTCATGAATTTTTACCGGCTATTTTTGGCTGAGCGAAAGCCATAAGGCATCAGCTAACAAAATGACGTCACTGGTAATCCACTGAGTGTGTGACGTCACTGGTCATGGGCTTTTACGGGCCTTTTTTGGCCGAGTTCAGGTCATTAGGCATCAGATAATGTTATGGCGTCACTTGTATTCGAATTAACATCAGTTGCAATAAGCCATGTTTCATCTTTACCTTTTGCACCTGCCTACTGCAAGTATTCGTGCGCTACAAAAAGGCTCTGTCGATTCGCCTGAGCGTGTGGTGTAACTGGCCATGAGTTTGTGCAGGTTTACTCGGGCTGACTGACGGACATCAAGCATCAGCTGACGATATGACGTCACTGGTAATCGACTAAACTCCAGACGAATGATCTGAGTGGGTGACGTCGCTGGTCATGAGTTCATACGGATTCACTTGGGCCGCCCAAGGCCACAAAGCAACACCTGCCGTGAAGCATCACAGGATGATATGTCGTCACTGTTATTCGACTTAACATCAGGTCCAACATGCCACGTACTTTCTTTACCTTTTGTGCTTGTTTATTAAAGGTATTGACGTGCTGAATGAAGGCTCCGTCGAATCTCCTGAGTGTGTGACGTCACTGGTCACGAGTTTTGTACGGGCTCCTTTGAACCCATTTTAGGTTATAATGCATCAGCTGACGACATGACGTTACTGGTGCTCGACTAAACATCAGGGGCAACAGGTCATGCTCCATATTTGCCTTTCGTACCTGGCTGCTGCAAATATTCGCGTGCTATATGAAGGCTTCCGCCGAATCACCTGAGTATGTGACGTCACTGATCATCAGTTGGTAGGAGGTCACTTGGCCACCTACGGCTACGGAGTTCCGCAGCAGAGGTGGGAGATGCACCATAGTTAAGCACACTAATTTTATTGTGCGCACCATTAAGTAACAACTTCAAACGCAACGGGCTGTTTCAACGACTAAAACTTTGAACAAACGTAAACACAAAACAAAGGTGATCCCAGCCCACAAACCGACGTATATGCAAAGCTATTCCGCCCGACATCACAGGATGCGCCCCCTGAGCAGCTACGGTCCGGAATGTCCTGATGGCTAAATAATAATCAAGGGCGCCGCCTAGCGGCCATAAGTCTGGGCCACAGCCCGAATATCAGTGACGTCATATGGTCAGGTGATGCTTGATGTCCTTCAGTCAGCCCGAGTAAGCCCGCGTAAACTCATGACCAGCTACACCACATGCTCAGGTGATTCGGCAGAGCCTTTATGTAGCGCGCGAATACTTGCAGTATAGAGGTGCGAAAGGCAAAGATGGAACATGGCCTGTTGCGCCTGAGATTAAGTCAAATACCAGTGATGTCATATCGTCAACTGATGTCTTGAACCCTATAGGTACAAAAAAGCAGCCCGTAAAGAACTCATGACCAGTGACACTACACACTCAGGGGATTTCACAGAGCTTTCCTTAAGCATGTCAGTGCTTACAATAGACAGGTACGAAAGGTAAAGACGAACATGGCCTGTCGCGCCTGGTGTTTAAGTTGAATACCAGTGACGTCACATCGCCAGATGATGCTTGATGTCCTTCAGTCAGCCCGAGTAAACCCGCGTAAACTCATAGCCAGTCACACCACACGCTCAGGTGATTGGGCAGAGCCTTTATGTGGCGCGCGAATACTTGCAGTAGATAGGTGCGGAAGGTAAAGATGAAACTTGACATATTGTATCTGATGCTTAATTGAATACCAATGACGTCATATCGTTACCTGATGCCTAATGGCCTTAAGTCGGCCCAAAAAGGCCCGAGAAAACTCATGACCAATGGCGTCACACACCTAGTGGATTACCAGTGACGACATATCGTTAGATGATGCCTTATGGCTTTCACTCGGCCAGCAATAGCCTGTAAAAACTCATGACGACGCACTCAGGTGATTCGGCGGAGCTAATATTAGGCTCGCCAATACTTTTAACAGGTGCAAAAGGCAAAGATGGAACATGACATGTTGTGCCTGATGTTAAGTCGAACACCAGTGACATCATATCGTCAGCTGAAGCATTATATCATATAGGGGGTTGAAAAGAGCCCGTAAGAACTCTTAACCAATGACGTGATATAACACGCGAATGCTTGCAGTAGGCAGGTACGAAAGGTAAAGATGGAACATGGCCTGTTGCGCTTGATGTTGAGTCGAATACCAGTGACGTCATATCATCCCGCGATACTTCACAGGATATGATGCTTTGTTGCATTGAGCTGCCCAAGTGAACCTGTATAAACTCATGACCAGTGACGTCACGCACTCAGATGGTTCGGCATCACCTTGATATAGCACGCAAATGCTTGCAGTAAACAGGTACGAAAGGCAAAGATAGAGCATGGCCTGTTGCGCATGACATCTAGACGAAAACCGGTGACGTCATATGGTCAGCTGATGTGGTGTGGCTTACGGTGGGTTCAAAGCAGTCTGTGTAAATTAATGGTTAGTGACGTTACACACTCAGGTGATTCGGCAGAGCCTTCCTTCAGCATTCAAATGCTTGCAATGGACAGGTACCAAAGGTAAAGATGAAGCATGGCCTGTCCCGCCTGAATTTTATTCGGATACCAGTGACGTCACATCTTCAGTTAATGTCGTATGACCTTTCGTCGGCCCAAAAGAGGCCTTAAATCTGATCACAAGTGACATCACACACAGTCGAATACCAGTGACGTCACATCATTAGGTTATGCTCTACGGCCCTCAGTTGGCCCCCAAAGATCCATAAAAATGCATGACCAGTGACGTCACACACTCACGTGATTTGGTAGCTTTTATTCATCACGCCTGTACTTGCAATAGACAGGTACGAAGGTAAAAATGAAGCATGACCTGTTGCGACCAATATTTAGTCGAATATCAGTGACGTCACGATACCCGGTGATATTTCACGGAACATGATACACCGCGGCCGTGGGGCCTAAGTGCACTCGTATCAAGTGATGAGTAGTGACGTCACACATTCAGGTGATTCGGTCAAGCTTTATTCGGCACGCAAAATGCGTGCAGCAGACAGGTACGAAAGGTAAAGATGGAGTAAGGCCTGTTGCGCCTGATGTTTCATTGAATACCAGCGGCGACATATCGTCAGGTGATGCTTTACGGCATTCATTGCACCCAAAAGATCCCTAAAGCCTCACAACCAGTGACGTCACATATCCAGTCGAATACCAGTGACATCATATCGCTAGCAAATGCCTTGTAGCCTTCAGTCGGCCCAAAAGAACCCCGATCGATGCAAACCCATTTTCAGTGACGTCACTACGTCGGCTGATACCTAACAGCATTTCTCCATCACGGCAGTACAGGAACCCTGCGGCCAGCGTAGCTCTCTCCCCACCGTCGGCAATACAGGTACCCAAGTAAAAAAAAGCCAACATGACACCCTGGCATTGAAGTGAGCTCAATGAAACAGGAATGTGTTGGTACTTTTATTCATTTGCCTTCACCAGGGGATAGCTGCATATTGTTCTGAGGCTATTCAAAGAAAACTTTATGGAACTGTAACAGGTTTTGCTTGAAAGAATCTTTTAATTAAGTGTTTCGGTGTAGGTGTACTTTCCTACCTAATGTTAGAAAAATCATTGCACACCATTCGTCGTGTTTAAGGTGGCACAAATCGTAAATGATCTCAAAACAGGTAGAATCATGCTCCTACCTTCGAATTTCAATAACTTTGATGGCGGGCTCCCGAGCGCCGCACGCACTGCACCGCGTGGACTCCCCAGCACCGTTTCTGTGTTGCCGTTGCGTAAATACAATATTTCTGCTTACCAAGAACTCTACAAAATGTACGGGACCCAAGGTAAACCATTCGTCATGTTTAAGGCGGAACATATCGTAAATAATTTCAAAACAGATAGTCATGCTCCTACCCTCAAATTTTAATAAATACGATAGCGAGTACCCGAGCGCCGCACGCACCGCACCGCCCCGACTCCCAAGCGCCGTTTCTGCGTTGTTGCGAAAGCACAATATTTCTGCTTATCAAGAAACATAAAACATGTACCCGACCAAGGTAACAATAATAAAGCAACCAAAATAGTTTCTTATCGAGTTTAGGTACATTTATGAAACACACAGGCCAGAATAGTCCAGAGCATATCCCAAACTAGCCTAGCCTAGCCTAACCTAACCTAACCTAACCTAACCTAACCTAACCTAACCTAACCTAACCTAACCTAACCTAACCTAACCTAACCTAACCTAACCACCTAACCTAACCTAACCTAACCTACCTAACCACCTAACCTAACCTAACCTAACCTAACCTAACCTAACTGAGAATAGACCAGAACCCAAGCTAAGCTAAGCTAAGCTAGCCTGACCTGACCTAACCTAACCTAACCTAACCTAACCTGAGAATAGACCAGAACCTAAGCTTAGCTAAGCTAACCTACCCTAACCTAACCTAACCTAACTAACCTAACCTAACCTAACCTAACCTCCCCACCCTATATCCCCTTCAACCCAGCATCCCATAGCTAAGCTAAGCTAAGCTGGCCTGACCTGTCCTGACCTGACCTAACCTAACCTAACCTAACCTAACCTAACCTAACCTAACCTTACCTAACCTAACCTAACCTAACCTAACCTAACCTAACCTAACCTAACCTAACCTAAACCTAACCTAACCTAACCTAACCTGAGCTTAGATATAAGCTCATAGACCTTATGAGCTTAGATATAAGCTAATAGACCAGAACCTAAGCTTAGATAAGCTAACCTACCCTAACCTAACTAACCTACCCTAACCTAACCTAACCTAACCTAACCTAACCTAACCTAACCTAACCTAACCTAACCTAACCTAACCTAACCTAACCTAACCTAACCTAACCTAACCTAACCTTACCTAACCTAACCTAACCTAATGTAACCTCCCCACCCTATATCCCCTTCAACCCAGCATCCCATTGGCATCCATGTTCCATGCCATATATAGGTGCCATATAGTGAGCTTTTATTTAGCTGTCATGTTCTCATTTTGCTTTACATTCCCCACCCAATCCCCCTGCAACCCGTGGTCCCGTTGGCGTCGATGATTAAATTTCATGGATTCTTGTTACCTTGGCCCGGTACATTTTTATGGTTATTGATGCTGCTTGATGCACAGTAATGTTGTGACCCGTGCAGTAATGGCGCCGGTGTCGCGGGTGCTGTGTGTGTGCGGCGCTCGGGAGTTCGCCATCGTAATTATAAAAAATTGAAGGTAAGATTATCAATCTACCTGTTTTGTGATTATTTACGATATGTCCTGCCTTAAACACAACGAATGGTTTACTTTGGTCCCGTACATTTTGTAGAGTTCTTGGTAAGCAGAAATATTGTATTTACGCAACGGCAACGCAGAAACGGCGCTAGGGAGTCCAGGCGGTGCGGTGCGCGCGGTGCTCGGGGGCCCGCCATCGAAGTTATTGAAATTCGAAAGTAGGAGCATGATTCTACCTGTTTTGAGATTATTTACGATATGTCCTGCCTTAAACACAACGAATGGTGTACAATGATTTTTTCTAACGTTAGGTAGGAGAAAGTACACCCTGACCAGTGTTTCATCTGTTTAGGTGTTTGGCTTCCTTTGTTGAACTAGTCTGTAGCCACTGTATGAACTTATGTGTTTAAGCAGAAACAGTGGCATAGCCTATTGGAGAGAGCTTTTGGGGCCGTGACTCCTTAGGGGTGGAAAGGGTGCAGGAATCCCTCCCTTTTGGCTAAAAGCCCCAGTACTTTTTAGCAGTATCAGTGATCCACTGGACTTTTTAAGCTTAAACAGTTGTCAGCAGAGGCATCAAAGTAGGACCCTGAGCCTAAAGGGCCTGTAAAAGTCAAAGAGGGGCCTCTGACTGCATGGACCCCTCATGACCTAATTTGAACTCCTCTTAGGCAAAGTTTTGACTATGCTATGGTGTACAGATGTGGGCTTGCTGAGATGTCTCAAAGCAGTGCCTAGTGTATTCCAATGAATAGGTGGAAATACAGGCTATAGCTTAAGGCCTTGGCTATCAAGGCATAGTAGGTCATGCCAAGACTTTCTGTAGTTGAAAAGTGGTCAGTATTTTAAATTGCATATCAAATTTCAAGACCGTGCTAAGTTTCAAGGGCAATGATGAACAGATGTTAGGGCACAGTATTATGGCCATCCTCTCCTCCAATTTGGACAACAGATAGGCATCACTTTTTTGTAGTTACTTATTTGAACACACTTGCCAGCCTACTCTTGAACCATGTTCATGGTTTGAGCTGCTTCACAGATATTTCATATTTGTGTTTGTTGGACTTCAACTATATTGTCCCTACCCCAAATAACAAATATCTAATTCTGGACATTTTTCAGCTGATATTTAGGCACCTTCAATTAAAGCTAACCTGAGTGAACCTTCAAATACATTCATGCCAGATCTTGATATATCTTTGATATCTTGACAACTTCCAATAAGATGATGATGGCAGCCAAACTACCAGCAAGACTCCATGACCAGCATGTCATGCCCACCTCCTATCAAGACAACACAAAGGAGTTGTGGACTGAAATATGGAATACCCTCATGGGCTACATTGATGCTGAAGATTCTCCAAACAAATTGCATCAGAAGGACATCCTTGTTGGTAAGCGCTAGGCATAACCTTTTTTTGCAAAAAGCATGGACAAATGAGGCTGATACCAGATAATTCATAGTCTTGTCAGTCATGTAACCACTACATGTTTTACTTGAACCTCATGCTCCAGATGTCTTGATGATGTCAGATGTCAGATGTCAGATGTCCAGATGTCTTGTCATAGTATACCTTTCATGCTTCAGAATCCAAGTAGTAGGCACATTCCTGGGTGTGCAATGCTACACCCCACTGTGGCACTTCCTCTCACAACCGATGCCTGCCTCCAAATTGACTCCTAATCTGCAGCACTGTCAGTGACTCCACGCCGTCACCTCGCCCGCACGCCGGCGCCAGCTCCGCCTCTCACCGTCGCTCATGGCCGCCGCCGCTCCCGCTGCAGACCTGATGTCAGTGTTCCTGTCGCGGGTGCCGCACGACAGCAAGTTCTACCTGGCGGCCACGCCGGCCGTGCTGCGCGCCTCGGCCGAGCAGGCCTCCTTCCGCCCCCTGCCGGCGGCGCAAGCGTTCGAGGCGCTGCACGAGTACGCCATCCGCATCCTGGCGCAGCCCTGGCGCTCCGAGTTCACCACCATCAATGTGAGTGGCGCCCCGTGACACTCTCTCACTCACTCTCGCACTCGTACTCCGGGCTACCATAGCCAACGTCATTGGTAGTTTGTGGCAACCCTGGCGTTCTCGGCTCACCGGAATCTTATGTCGCCATCTTTCAAATGGCGTTTTGGTCATTTCTAAGTGGTTGAGCCAGCCCAACCCACAGCACGATCTCACATTGAGTTGCCCTTCAGGACCAGCCCCAGGCAGCAAGACCCCAGCCCAGTCAGTGCTAGATACCGTAATCTGGTACACAAAGCAGAGCCGTGTCGCCTACAGGTGGATAATAACCCAAAATATGCATGATACCAGGGTGTCACGGCCCTGCCGTCCTCTATCTTGGCCCTCCTCCCCCCCCCGCCCCACCGTGCCCCCTGCCGCTGTGTGTGGCCTCACCGCCACGCCGTGTCCGCCGCCAGATGTACTCGGGCTACTACGTGCACACGGTGCAGTCGCGCCTGCTGGAGGCGCACCGCCTCCTGGAGGAGATGGGCTTCCACGTGGACCTGTCCACGCTCACGGCGCGCCTGGTGGAGCCGGTGGATGTGGACCAGGTGACCAAAGCGGCCATCGACACTCTCATGGCCAGCGTCGAGTGCCGGGTGAGTGACCCCTAGTGTCGATCGCTGAGTGCTCGCTGTCCGCTTTTTCACCCCTGCCCGGCCCTGCCCCAACAGAGTGGTGCAGCCTGCAGCACAATTCGCTCATCAGAATGATCGGTTCCTTGGCTTCATCTCTAGGAGTACCCGCATCGTTACGCACTAAATTTCCTCTCCACAAACTGTCGTAAACGCGTTTTTGGATATGCACAAAGTTTCATGTATACAGCTCTTCACATGTATATTCTTAGTTTGATTTAACTTGCCCGTGATATTTTGTCTCTTTTTCTTTCTATCCATTACCACTGTATGTTTGTTTGCAGTTATTGTTCTTTACATTTTTACGTCTTGTTACTCTCAGCTAACTGTCATTATTCTTAGATGGTCCTTTGCTTTTTTTGTGCCTGTTCAAATTGAGTATCCTCACATCATTGTGTATTGTATGACTTTGTTTTTGCTACATCAGGTTTGTTGGTGTATGTCAATATTGAGGCCGTATTTCCTCGTGTACAGTTTTTCATGGTAGGTCTTACCAATATGGAATGCTCTGTATCATTTTTAACATGTATTTCGTTATGCACGCATTTTTTTCGGGTAAATAGGATGTGGTACGCCATGGATGCGCGAACGCAAAACTTTCTATACCTATTTGTCCGCCGATTGATGATAAGCGTATTTGCTGTGGCCATGATTGTCAGGGTGTCCAACGGTCGCCCCCCCCCCCCCCCCCAATCATCTCATTGCTTGCCTTCCTAGCCTGACTTACATGACCTGATGTATGTGTGGCCTGATCACCTGCTACAAATTTTCTTTCCCACATAAGATCGGAAGATTGTCATACAACGTTGTAGACACACGTAGAAACGCAGACGAAACATGTATTACGAACACGTGCCATTCAAACAACCGTGCTTAGGAAAGATTGCGTATGCGAGAAAAAAAAATGCGCGAAGTTGTTTTTCGCAGAAATGGACACAAAAACGACGTGTGCGGAGAAATACGACGTGACGAGTCGAGTATACGGTGATATGTGAAGCGAATAATTGGGTTAGAAAGATATACCCTGGAACCATCGCAAAACGGTCTCGGCTTGTGGTTGCCTTGGCAACGTGCGCAGGCTTTCACTCCTTTGTACTAGGAATCGATATGATTCAAGTGCACGAGAGCTAAGCATACAGATGCTCCATGCGTGAATTTGGAATGCGTTTCGAAAGATGCATGTATTGCGCTCTGACACCATGTTGTGACTGCGGTCCACCCCCTGCTGAGACGAATGCAAAACGGCCTCTTTTCAACTCCTCCGTGCCATATGTCTGCGTAGCTTATAAGCGGCTCGTACGTCACGACGCTCAGATTAGTTATCAGCAGTGATTGATTCAGGGCCGGCTGAATCATTGCATGCGGGGACCGTTCGTGACGAGTGAGTGATACGGCTTTGGAACTAGTTGTGAAGTTGCACATGTACTCGCCAGATGCGGACACCGGTTCTCGTATTATGGGATTTGTTCTCACTTCGCGGTGTTAAATCCCAGAACGTGTAATATCAGATGTCATTTTTACTCTCTGCTTCTCGCAATGGCGAATTATGGAAGACTCATTGATATTTGAGATTGACAAATTGTGTCCTTCTCGCACACCTTGTCATTGCTGTGGCCACCGTGCTGGCCATTGCCTTTACCATGACGCCAGAGCTCCGTTCCCACGTTGGCTCGCGCTCACCGGCGCTTCGTGGCCCGCAGCTCATCGAGCGAATTCTGGAGTCGCTACCGCCGGGCGCCTTCACACCGCGCGGCGTGCTCTGCTACCGGAGTGCGTACGTGGGCGGCGTGGAGTCGGCCATCCGGCACCTGACGGTGTCGCTCCGGCAGCGCTCCTTCCAGCACTACTTCTCGCCGCCGGGCGAGGAGGCCGGCGCGGCGCCGGCCGGCGGCGCCTTCCCGTGGCAGCCGGTGCCGCCGGCGCCGCCGCCGGCGCTGCCGCCCGTGCCGACGGCGCGGCTGGTGGACGTCGGCGAGCGGGACGGCTGCGTGTGGATCCCGAAGACGATCCGCCACCAGTCGCGGCCGGCCGCCGAGCAGCGGCCGGCGCCGGCCGCCGCGCCGCCGCCCGCTGCCGCCATGCTGCCGGCCACGCTCGATGAGCACCAACTGGCCAGCTGGGACCTGGTGGACCGGAACGCGGTGCCTGCGCGCGCGCGCCCGCCTTCCGAGTCGCTGGACGACTCCTGGGGCTACGTGCTGCAGAGTCTAGACCGGCGCCGACCGGCGTCCGGCCGATACGACAACGTGCCGGAGCAGGAGCCGGCAGGCAGAGGGCAGGCGCCGCGTGCCGCCGCGCAGGTCGCCGAGCGGCGCGTTCCGGCGGCCCGGCCGCGTGGCCGGGCCGAGACGCGACATTACGGCGAAACGGACCAGCGCAATCCGTTCGACTCCCGCTCGCACCTGTCGTCTAGCCTGTACCACAACGGCGCGTCGCCGGGGCGCGACGTTCGCGACGCGCGCGACGTGCGCCAGCAGACCGCTGAGAGCAGGGGTGGCCCCCCGTCTCGTGGCGCGTCGCTGACGCTCGAGCATGCCGCGGCGCCGGCGGGTGGCCCGGTGGCGCCACGTGCGGCCGCCGAGCAGGGCGCGGGCCTGACGCTGCGGCCGGCCGGCGAGCACGGTGAGCCGCGGCGCGGCTCGCCGCTCGGTGGCGAGCCGACCGGCGGGACGGCGCCGCGCGCCGGCCGCGGCGCGCCCGCCGCACGCGCCTCGCCCCGGTCAGAGCCGAGTCCTGAGCCGGCGTCGGTGCCTGTGCCGGCTCGGCCGCGTGCCACGCCATCCGCCGAGACGCGCGCGCCCTGAGCTGGGCGCATGGCCGGCGCGACCAGACGCGGCGCAGCGGCGCGAGACGCCGGCGCCGGCGCCGACGCGTGCCGAGCCGGCCGACGCCGAGCAGTGGGCCTGCCACGCGTGCACCTACCTGAACCCGGCGGCGGTGCGCGTGTGCACCATGTGCGGCAAGACGCGCCAGCCGGTGGGTCGGCCGGCCACCGACCTGCCGCCGCCGCCGCCGGAGCCGGCCGACGACCTCGCCTGCCCCCAGTGCACGCTGCTGAACAGCCGGCGTGCGAGGAAGTGTGGCGCCTGCGACGCCGAACTGAAGTAGGCGCCCAGACGGCGGCGGCGGCGCGACGCGGCCTGGCAACCGACGGCGCCGGGCCGGCTGATGTGCGGCGGCGTGCTCTCACAGCAAGCAGTGTTTGACGCTCTGTGACTAACATGCGGTCCGCGTGCGCAGGGTCAAGGTATGTGGGCATCGGAAGGGGCGTTCCCGGACGTGTTGCGCTCTGGGCTAGTGCGGTGGTGTCGCTGCGTGTGAGGGAACCTGACCACTTGTAGCCGTGGGAGATAACCTTCATGAGATTCGTTTCGCATGTGGGAGGACTTGGTTCACCTGTTCCCTGTGGCAGGCCTTTATTTACACTAGTGTACAGATAGCGTGGTTGAGGCTATCTCGCTGCTCCATAGTGATTACCCTGCTTTACCTCCCGGCAGGACGTTGCAGTATTCCTTTTCTTTTCGAAACATGCGTCGCGCCATGCCGCGTAGCGGTACTTTTTAAGATAAACCGGAAGCGTACAGAGAAACTTACGGATGCCTTCCACGTGGTGGCCAACGAGACGTGGGCCTCCTCGGTTCCAGTCGGCGAGGGTCGGGCTCTTGTCCCACCGCTGTCTCCTTCCGCACAAAGGCGACGCTCGTGCTGTGTGGAGGCTGGCCCGTGCGGCTCTTGTTGAGCGTGCCACGTATACACAACCGCTTGAGGGGGGTGCCGCTTTCACAGTCATTGGTCTCTTTGACCTCCGACTTGGCTGGGGTGAGGTCCGACCCGCGTGCGCACGTCGTCTGTAGAGCCGAGCGGCCGAGTGTTTTTACTATGACCGGCAGGGCGTGAGAGAGACCCTTCCCATCCTGTCCGTTGCTTTGATATGTTGCGTGTGGCGGTTGTTGATGTGGCTGCTTGGAGCGGGGCTGAGGCGCCCGCCAGCCGTGCGGCGCTGTAGCCGCGGCGAGGCGAGGAGCGCCGCCGCAGATCGTGTGCCTTAAGTGACAGCGATTCTAGTCAATACTCTCAACTCCAATGAATGCTGAGCTATGGATTGTTATACATACTACCAATCGATCGTTTGTTTCCATCGCTGGTGGGCAAACCAAAGAAAAAGAAAGGCGGGGGATTGTGTAGTGAAGCGGATGGGGTGGCCCCATACCAATATCATCACCGCGTCTTTCACTTTATGTCAGCTGTGTCAGCAGTGGTGCCAGATGTCACGCTTCCGTTCCCGCCAGCTGTCGTACGCCAACTACGTGTGACAGATCACGTCGGACCACGGTTGACAGTTCCCAGTTGTACCCGTGGACGCACAGAGACCAATGCATTGAATATTCTGTCCCCTTCGCAAGCTTGGGAACCTGGCGGCGTTCCATCGCGCAAACGGTGAATGGAAGTGGAAATTAATCAGATGTGTGCGAACGTAAGAGCTGGTTCGTTGTCAGGCACGTTTTGTGCTGATCTGCATGGAATGCAGGTCGAAGTTTAAGGTCAATCAGAGCGGACCGATTTAATTTGAGTTCCGAAATGCATATTCGTTGACCAGCACCCGAGCTTTTAAAACACTTTTAGGAAAGTGCACCACTTTTGTTAGGATTTTTGAACTGAAATAGCCATCTTGAGGATCGTTCGGTATCCTCCAGTCATGATCGTAAGACGTAAACCGCTCTAGTTTCTGGGCTTCACGCCCGCGGAGATGTCAGACTTTCTCAGGGAGACTATTCCAAGGTCATTCAATCATTCATGACGTCATAATAAGGTCATTTGAATTCTGCGATTTCATCGCCACGCATCGATCAAGACCAAGCAAAATATAAATGCCGAGTCGGTTATATATGGCTTTCGTGAGCACGATTTCTAGGCAATAGTCGTCAGCTGGCTCTCAACGTATGTTGTGTAAGGCGCGATGACGTAATTCGATAATGAGGTTTGAGAAGCATATTCACTTAACAGAGAAATTATAGTGCCTAGGGCGGCCTTCTCAACTGGAAAGCCTACCAATAATTATAAGTGAGCTTGTTTCATTATTATGATGCTTGCTTCAACATCTTCAGATGTGGAGATGACGAAGCAAGCATCCCCTAGTTTGGACATGTAATATTTCGCGAAGTTTTGTATGTCTAACTTAGCTTCTTGCAGGCTAAGATGCATGGGCCAACTTTTATAAGCCTGCCAATTGTTCGCTAAATCGTGGCAGTCCGGAATATCGACCAACAGTTTGATACAAATATGCTGCTAGCTTGACACGCGTAGTTTTGGTGCGGAAATAATTGGCTAGGACCAAGATTCCGCCCAGATTTTGGCCGGCGATGGACATTTTATGCCTCGTTATTTGGCATCATCACCCGCACTTGAAATGGGAGCTTACCAAAATCTTTGCGCCCATGCTAATGTACGCCATTCATACCTCCGAGCGCCAATTGAGAGCTCAACTCTCGCCCCTGATTTGTTGTTTTTCATAACACCAACCCAGGCGAGGGGAGTCGATACGTAATCCACCATGCCATACAATTTACACAGATGTATCAATGGTTTCATTCTTAGCATATTGGTATGTAGTTTGGTGTGTTTTAAGCATCATTTATAACGTACGGCTCCGTTAGTGTAACAGTTGACGCCACAGCCGCCCGCGGTCGGCGGCCTTGTCAGCTGCTGCCCGCCGCCCGCGCCGGCCAACGATAGCCGTGCAGTGTCCCTAACAAGGCCGTTTTTCAGAAACCAGATGCTATGGACGCATTTTTATGTATCCAAATATGCGTGATAGAAGCCCCCAGATGATGCAAGAAACTTGCGCACGATCGTACCATATGCCGGAAAGATGTCCTCAAGAAACCTACGGAAGGGGGGAGGGGGAGTGGCTAGACGTATCGATGATGTTCACCAGCTCATCGACCCTGCAGGCTTATTTAGTTTGAGACAACCCAAGAGGAGAAGTATGAATAAGCCAAAGCCATCCATCTGCGCAGATAGCCAGCACCCGCTTCAGCACCAAAGCTGTCCCAGGGGGCTGGAGCACCACTGGAACTGCTTCCTTTCAGGGTTTTTAACGTCGGGCTTGCGCGCAGGAATCAAACCTGGGTCCTTTTGCGGGATGGAACAGTTCAAACTTCAGATCGCGTTCAGAACCCTTTTGCAATAAAATGCTTTTAGCAAACTTTGGCTGTTAAGATATTGAGCAGGCACTCCACGCCGGCAGGCACGAAACCATGCCGTACTGCGCGTCTTGCCTGATTTTATTGAAAAATGGAATATGGGTGGTCACAAGCGTAGGGACGTTTCAAAAAGTGGGGGGAGGCCAAGCTCAGGGTGTACTTCAGGAACTTTTTCTGGAAAGCGAGCCCGATGACCGGGGGGAGGAGGGTTATGGATGGAGGTTGTTATCCTGCTGTTTATTCAAATGTCATAGCTGCTATGAGAGATATACATCTAGAGTTGTTTCTCACTGGTGCACAAACTTGCCTGTTCGACTCATCTGTCATTTGGTGCATAAGGCTATCCAGCTTCCCTAGATTATTCGTCCATTTTCACAGTTGTCTTTCCTGGCGAGACGAAATTCCACAAGCGGGTAGGCATTTTGGGTTATTGAGGAAGCATCTGCCTCCACAGTGTATATGCCAAAATACGGTCTGGATATAGGCTGGTGAGAAGTTTTGAAGGTAGGTTGATGGCTCATAGTGCGACGGATTTTTCATGCGCCTTTATTTCGCTGGCTGCTCTTCAAGAGATAAAACTTGTCGCAGCGTTTTAGGCGGAAACAAATTCTGGAGCTTGAAACTGACAGAAACAATGATAAAAGTCATAATACTGGAGGTGCTCTTTTAAGAATCAAGCCACGTAATAAGGGCCCATCTCTCATAAGTTCCTTATCTGGGCCCTGCACCTGTCCGCCGTCGGTGGCCACTGTCCTGGCCCGGATGTCTCCCGCATGGCTGACTGGGAACGCTGCTACTACATGGTGTATGAAACATGTGCTGAACACCTGCATTTGTCATGTGATGTCCCATGTTAAATGTACAGCGTCCCCAATTTCAGGGCCAGTTCCCCCACATCGCTATTGTGCCTTGTGCGCCACCGTGACGCTCGTCAAGTTAGATCGGTATTACACATTGACATTCGCGTGTCACATTCGATCTACTCACCAAATACAATGAAATTTAGCTCACAGATAGAGCTTATCATGCCACTGGCAAATACACAAGTCACTAAGTGTGACATCCAAAAACAAAGGAGTTATTACAAATCAAAGTTCATGGTTGTTCTAGGTCATTGCTTAGTGAATCTTCCCGGACTCGACAAATTTCGACTCGATTTGGTTTGTTGATAGAACAAAGCGTTCCAATCAATAAAATCACATTTTCCAAAGCGTGACATTTAAAACCACGCCCGTAAAGAATCATAGAAGTTCAAGATCACTCAAAATTGGACTCTTTCGATTGCTTTGAGATTTGGCAAAAACATTCACATCGCATCGCTCCACCTAGCCTCCAAATATTACATTGTGACATTCAAACGTTTGTCTTCCAGAGGCATTCAAATCTTGGAAATGACGGCCTCGCACATCTTAACATATATACATTTCATGTCACTAAAATGGCAGAGAGACTCCTTCGATCACCTTTAACTTTTGCATAAGCGTGTACCATGTACACATACAGTTTTTCACCGACGTGGTAATTTGTGACATTTCCATTCACGCATTCCAGAGGCTCTCAAACAATGGAATATTTCACATATCTCTAAAACGACACAAACAGCGTCGTAACATACAACCAAAACCAAGGAATGCTGCACATTGCATTTCGTATGATGTAATTAGCCCCGTAGCCTCGCATATGATGTTTCATATGATGGTACGGAATGCTGAATGTGACGTACAAATCAAAAATGTCACATTCGATGTCGGTATTCACACATTCGCGGACTCCTCTGATTGCTTTGAAATTCGCCACAAATAATCACCTTACAAGGCTCCACCTAGCCACCAAATCTTATAGTATGACATTCAAATGCTTCGCATTCCAGAGGCATTCAAACCTTGGAAATGACAGCCTCGCACG